TATATATATATATATATATATATATTCATACTAGTATGAAATCAAGAGGGCATATGAGAACGTTGTTACTTGTTGGATGTGTAGAGAAACCGTGTAATCTCTATAAATTCTAGAGATTCTAAAGATTGAATATTTGTCAGTTATACGCAAACGTTGTTTTGCTCGCTTGCAGATCTTGGTGGAACAAGTGAGCAGTCAGGTGGTTGCCGGGAAACATCCGGAACCGGAACCACACTGTAGGATAGAGAACCCGAGTGAGTTCTTCTGACATGGGAACTTCCTAACCTAAGGCTCTCAAGTTGTTCTTACATAGAACACCTTAACCTAGGTTCTCAAGTTGTTCCTAACATTCTATGTATTCCCTACCGATATTCTCAGGGGTTTGTCATTCTATGTTAGGCTTCCACATTCTAATTATAGACTTAGGATAAAGTTAGGGTTGGGGTTAGGGATAGGGATAGGGTTAGGGCTTAGGGATAGGATGGTGATGTTGACGATAACATCGACGACGACGATGGTGATAACGATAATGACGCTGATGATGATGTTGATGATGACATTGACGACGACGATGTTGATAACGATAATGACGCTGATGATGATGTTGATGATGACATTGAAGATGATGTTCATAACAATCATTTATTTAGTCCTTATTCATAAGGTCCCAAAGGAGTAGCAGTCTCCCATAGTGCCTACCCAGGGCCCCCCTTGTCCCAAAGGAGTAGCAGTCTCCCATAGTGCCTACCCAGGGCCCCCCCTTGTTCGAACGTTAACCTTGTGTGTGTTATTTTATGGCGATGCAGTGATCATGAAGGTGATGAGTAACCTGATACGGCAATCACAGCCATGTCAGGAGGAGACTGAGGTGAGAGAGTTGTTCATGAAGGATGTTACACAACTATGCAACGGCAACAAGGACAATAGAAGGTAACCCTCGAGCGAGAGATAGAGGTGGGAATATAGAGTGAGAGAGAGAGAGGGGGGAGAGAGAAGCAAAGAGAAAGGAAGGGGGAGAGAGCAAGAGAGGGAGAGTTTGAGAGAGCTAGAATGATAGCGAGAGAGAGAGAGAGAGGAAGGGAGAGACAGTGGGAGAGGAGGGAGATCGAGAGAGGAAGAGAGAGAAAGATGTAGATAGAGAGAGAGAGAGAGAGAGACAGAGAGAGAGAGAGAGAGAGAGAGAGAGAG